TTCTTTGTTTTATTCGTATTATTAGATATTTTAAATAGTAAAAATTCTCATCCCTCTTACTTTTCCTTACGTTTATTGCTTTGCTCTTTGATAATTGACTATCTTCATAAAAATTTAATTTACCCTGTGTATGCGAAAGATTATTCTCAGATATGGATGAAGAGGTTTGGTAATACCGACAAGTGGAAGGTTAAGGACATATATATGGTCAAGATATTAAGAAAACGCTTCGTCATGACTTGACTTTTTCAGTCCTAATACAGAGAAACTAAAGAAAAAAAAACAGTATATATAATGCAAGAGTATAGGTGATCATAGGTTTAAAGCGATCTAACACATTAGTTAATATCTTGAGTAATCATCAAAGGACAAATGTAAATGTGATTAGGTTGTGATCCATTGGCGGTGTTAATGTAGCAATGTTTGGCCGAGGTACTGGATATTGTATACGAGCTTGACTTCTATATAACTCCGTTATTTTCATTATTATTATTATTATTAAATATTTGCCGGTATTCTCCCGGCCCGGGCCTTTTCCAAGTGGTGGCCCGGCCTTGGCTCCCTCTTTAGGGAGTGTCTGAGACCTAAGTCTCCCATGGGAGGAGGCACAAGTACCTCCTCATCTTTGGGACCAACTGTCCCCAGGCCTAGCCACAAGCTAGGCCTCTCTGGTCTGCCATCCCCGCCCCAAGGGGGCTAATGGGAATGACAGTCTTGTGAGCTAAAGGCTCGGGCTCAGGCACCTACCCTACCCTAAATTTTGATCGTCCCTTCTGCAGGTATTTTAATATTCTCGAAATTTTGAGTTTCAAAACTAATTATTATAGGAAAAATACTTTGCATTATTTTCGTGGACAAGGTTAAAAAATCAACGAAATTTATATATTCCAGGATTATTTATATGGCTTAAAATTGTATTTATTCCTGTAAATACAAACTGACAAAATTGTGAGTTTAAAAAGGCATTCGAGACGCGATTTTTGGAATTTTATGGGCTGTTGGAATGTAAACAAGGTAAGACTTATGAAAGGATTCAGGAGAAACCGGTTAGCCAGATTTGTGTCCTGGAGGTGAGGAGTACAGTGCCTGTATTCTGAAGGATGGGCGAGGATGTAACACATCGGAGTGTTGTCTGAACCGTGAACTGAATTGTTGTGCTTCAGGAGATGGGAAGTGCAGTACCTGCATGCTGAAGAATGGGTGATGATATTATTCTGGAGGTGGGAAGTACAGTGCCAGTACTGAGTATAGATGGGGAGCTAGTGGCTCTTGGGGTGGGAAGTGCAGTACCTACACTGTGGAGGTTGAGTGGGAATATTGGGGTTCGAAAAATCGCGTGACTTGGTATGACTTCTCTAAAGAGAGTAAAACACGTTCCCAGTGAAAGCAACCTCTGTACCACTTTTTCTGTATCAGCTGAAGGACAGTCTACTGTCCAATTATTCTCTTGGCAACCTATCAAGCAGCGTCGGTTTCTGTATTACTGTCAGGTTCTCGGTACTTATCTTCAAGTAGCATAAATGTTGCTGAGAACGTCCAGGTGGTAAGAGGTAAAAAGTGTTCTGGTAGTCAGTTGTTGAGGGGCACTTAAGGCCACTCGCTTACACTTTATTTGTACTGTGAGTGTATGCCAAGCTAGTGAGGGTATGCTTTAATTGGCAGCTTCAGCTTTAAACTTTTTTATTACTCTAATAAAGTGATAATGTCTTTCAAGATGAGACAAAAGGGTCAAGTCTTGCCTTCATAAGGTCCACAGAGCTCTCAGCCAGACCCTGTCAACAACTTCATCACCTCTTGGTTTTTTTTCACCACACTACATAAAGCTTAAACAAATATACGACGGGGAATAACGTCGGTCGTATTGATATTAGGCTTATTAATGGACCCCTATCATAACAAGTTAAAACCTATCAAAGCCTCTTACCTATATAAGGAACTTTGATACTAATATAATATACATATAAATATATAATATAATATATGTATATATATATTATTGTTTTTTATTAATACACATAGCCGATTAACCACCAAGGCAGGGTGCCCTTCTTCTCTTTTTTAGTAAATGTATATAAGAAGGGTTATATCCATTGCTCCACGGATTTTAGTACACTTCATTAAACGCATGTTACGGTAGGAAGATTCTTTTCCACTTACATGGACAATAGAAGAAATAAAAGTTAAGTATATTTAGTTAAAAGGAAAAACCTAGATGTTATGTATTATTTTTTTTTTTGTTTTTTTTCCGTAAGAAGTTCCTATGTGGTGTGTTAGGGAAGGAAGCAAGATTCGTTATCCGAATTATATCTGCCTTTGCATCGTCTCACGGGATTTTACCTTGTTTGGAATAAGCCCCCTCTGACTTTTTTTGGGTTATCACAGGTTCTCTACACATATGTTGCTATGTATGATAATCTATGTAACTGTATTTGTGTATACATGAATAAATTTACATGTTATGTGGTGTTCAGGCTGTTTATGTGGAGTTCACAATGTTTTTCAATATTGATAATAGTTCCCCAAGAAAATTAGAGGTGGTAAGACATAGGCAACATTTAGATATCTTTATTGCGAAACGTTTCTCCTACACAGTAGGCTTCTTCAGTTAAATACAGAAAGTACGCAGCAGCAGTAGAGATGTGAAGACGATGTAATCAGTCCATCACCCTTGAGAGGCAGTGGTGTGCCTCTTTCAGTGACAGTAACAGCGTATCAAAGATGCCTGGAAGGCCAGTCTACTGTTTACCTGGAGAGAGTTCCGGGGGTCAACGCCCCCGCGGCCCGGTCTGTGACCAGGCCTCCTGGTGGATCAGAGCCTGATCAACCAGGCTGTTACTGCTGGCTGCACGCAAACCAACGTACGAGCCACAGCCCGGCTGATCAGGAACTGACTTTAGGTGCTTGTCCAGTGCCAGCTTGAAGACTGCCATAGGTTACCATAGGTTAACCAGAACTGATCCATGACATGGGTTGTCTTAGGAGGCTGGTAGGAATTACGCAGCTCTGTATGACCCTAGTAGGTTGACCTCTTGGTTTTGACTCTCTGATCGCGGGTTCTATCCCCACCCGTGGTATGGTTCGCTTGGTTTTATACAGCAATAACAATAGTAAGAATTACGTCTGCAGGCATTATCATGAAACTGCTTGTGATTGACCTTTAATACCAGCAGGGATATGTTTATTTAGGCCTGTTTCTGCTGGCTCTAAACTTTCCATGGTAACCCATTGATTATTATTACAATTAATCGTCAGTGTTAAACTCACAAGGGTCTTACTGCACTGTCTGGTAACCCAAGCTGCTTCTCTAAACTGTTTTTATCTGCACCCATCTTACTAAATCTCCCCCATGAATGTAATACTGACCCATAGGCTAGCAGGAACACCCATAACTAGACCTATCCCTAATGGCTTAAATTCCCCACATGAATTTAACACTGACCCATGAGCCAGCAGAAACAGCTCTATATAGGTCCGTTCCTACTGGATCAACTCTTCCCATGAACATAATAGAGTATATGATGAAAAATGAGTACGACCCATAGGCCAATTTGTTATATTATGACCCGTACGGTTTTAGCACATCCTGAATGTTAAAATAATCTGCCCTTCATGTAGGGTACTAGTGGTACAATAATGTGCCCTTCATGTACAGTACTAGTGGTACAATAATCTGTCCTTCATGTACAGTACTAGTGGTACAATAATCTGCCCTTCATGTACAGTACTAGTGGTACAATAATGTGCCCTTCATGTACAGTACTAGTGGTACAATAATCTGTCCTTCATGTACAGTACTAGTGGTACAATAATGTGCCCTTCATGTACAGTACTAGTGGTACAATAATCTGCCCTTCATGTACAGTACTAGTACAATAATGTGCCCTTCATGTACAGTACTAGTGGTACAATAATGTGTCCTTCATGTACAGTACTAGTGGTACAATAATCTGCCCTTCATGTACAGTACTAGTGGTACAATAATGTGCCCTTCATGTACAGTACTAGTGGTACAATAATGTGCCCTTCATGTACAGTACTAGTGGTACAATAATGTGCCCTTCGTGTGATAAAGGAATAACAGGAAAAGTTGATGGATGTATCTATAATTTCTTAACAAATTTAACACAAAGAGTGGTAGTAAACAGAGTAAAGTCTGAGACGGCTACTGTGAAAAGCTGTGTTCCACAAGGCACAGTACTCGCTCCCATCCTGTTCCTCATCCTCATATCTGACATAGATAGGGATATCAGCCACAGCACTGTGTCTTCCTTTGCAGATGACACCCGAATTTGCATGACAGTGTCATCCATTGCAGACACTGCAAGACTCCAGGCGGACATCAACCAAATCTTTAAATGAGCCACAGAAAACAATATGAAGTTCAATGATGAGAAATTTCAATTATTCTGATATGGAAAACGTGAAGAAATTAAAACTATATTGGAGTATAAAATTCCAAGCACATAGAGCGAAAAACTAATGTAAAAGACCTGGGAGTGATAATGTCAGAGGATCTCAACTTCAAAGACAACAACATTGTATCAATCGCATCTGCTAGAAAAATGACAGGATGGATAATGAGAACCTTCAAAACTAGGGATGCCAAGCCCATGATGACACTCTTCAGGTCGCTTGTTCTATCTAGGCTGGTATATTGCTGCACACTAACAGCACCTTTCAAGGCAGGTGAAATTGCTGACCTAGAGAATGTACAGAGAACCTTCACGGTGCGCATAACGGAGATAAAACATCTAAATTACTGGGAATGCTTAAGTTCCTCAACCAGTACTCCCTAGAAAGTAGGCGGTAGAGATACATGATTATATATACTTGGAAAATCCTAGAGGGACTAGTACCAAACTTGCACACGAAAATCACTCCTCATGCATGGCCCCCACGGGTTGAGCGCTCCACCATGAGTAGTACTGATAGTGATGGTGCAGTAGTGCCATCTAGTGGTGGTAGTCAGAGTTAGTCAGGTTATCAGTGATGGTGTTATAGTGAAGGTCAGGACAGTGACCAACCTCAAGGGCAGTAAAGGTCAGTTAACCTTCAGTGGTCGTACAGGAGAGATGTGTTGCTCCTCCTCCTGCCGCCCCGCCGGCTTTGCCGCTTCCTCAGCCTCTTCATACACCTAAATAACGTAAGTATTGTCTGTTGATGTGTTTGTAAGTACAACAGCAGAGTTGAGCTGCACCTCCTGGTCCCCGCCACCAGTTTGGTTACTAAATTATTTTAATAGTCTTAATTTTCTTTGGGGTCTAATGTCTTGGGGGGGGAGGGGAACTGACGTTAGCGGAGGGGTTTTGATGCGAGGAACTGGAGCTACTCCCCTTCCTCTGATCAAACAATAACTCTCACACTAGGTGTTACATAACTCATAATGGTGTATGTAGTTCTTGGCTATTTTTTTCCATTATTGAAAAATAACTTAGCGAAGGTCTCTTGATCCAAGTAACTTGCGCCTTGTGATCTAGATATAGACTTCCATGTTAACAAATTATTAGTTATCACGTTAATGTGTAAGAAATATTCATTAAACAAAATATAATTTTACTATGTTAAACATTAATGGGTATATCAGTCAGGGAGTAATATTGTTAGTTTATATTACATGGTAATGTTTGTATGTGTGTGTGTAATGTTAATGGTTATAATGTTTTTGTGTATGTGTGTGTAATGATGGTTATATTGTTCCAGGTGTAATTGCTGTGCCTGGCTGTGTCTGCTGCAACATTGATCAACAACGGCAATATTGACCAGTCTGAGGGGTGGAGACAACCACACTAGTAAATGGTCTGACTCAACATTTAGTGTTATACCTGGAGAGGGTTACTCCAGGTATGTGGAGATGCAGCAGCTGGAGACGTTGTCAGAGGTGGGTGGGGCCCACTTGTAAGGTATTTCCAGGTTATAAGTCCACTAAAGTTTGGTCATTGAAGCAGACAGCAATTGTATTAGGTGGTAGGCTGGTGGGGAGAGTATAGGAAAACTTGTAAGGAATCGATATCAAAAGTAGCTTAGTGGGAAGTATTACCTTATCTCCCGACCAGAGATGAAATCTCTAGCCAGGAAATAATGAGGAATGTATTCTGTAGGTTACCTTGAATGGGGTGGAAATAAAAATTGGAGAAATAGGTTGTAAAACTTAGAACTGAAGGCTGATTAGATTTTAGAAGTTTTAGTTAGTCTGACATCCATATTATGCAGCCTCTACCCATCCTGCAAGATTGTAGGAAGCAAGAGATGAAATGTGTGATATATCATGGCTCTTTTGGTAGTGGCGTCAACGGAAGAACCGGGATTCGATCCCGGGCACAAGTGAGCATGTTCCCTTATATTCATTGGCACTGTTCACATAAAGGAACACTGCAACAGGCCTACTGGTATGGGTCTCATCCTGGGGTGGTATAAATATCCTAATGAAAATGTCAGATGTCATTCTGATTTAGAACATAAGAAAGGAGGAACACTGCAGTAGATCTACTGGCCCATACTGGGCATACTTAATTGGGTTAATTGTGTTAATCTACCGGGTTAATAATTATATAAGATTAGTGTAGTGAGAGTAATGGCAGAGGTCTTGATGCCGAGTATAAGGGAAGCCTATTGAGTCAGGCATATCCATTAAGACATGAATAAGAACACCGAATCAGGGCTATTGACCCATGCTAGGCAAGTCCACCTCTCAACCTCTCATTTGTTTAACCTATTTTTGAAACTACATAACCAAAGTTTTATCTTCACATGACGGGATAAATTTTCCTTAGGCAGAATATATTATAGCCAGAAAATCGGTAAAAATTCCTCAGAAATGTGGAATTCTTAAACCACAATTTTCTATTTCAGTAAGGTTGTAGAGGACCTGGCCAAGTAATTTTATGCTTTGAAGTCTCGAAAATATTTTCAGTAGTATAACCTTATGGGTTTAGTGCTTAGGACTCCAGAGTGTGTATTAGTCTTGGCGGGGGGGGGGGGTATAGCATTTTAGAAATTGGGTTATACGGTATATATATTTAGAGACTTTGTAGGCTGATTGATCTTAACCTAGACCCCCTTGATCTTAACCTAGACCCCCTTGATATTAACCTAGACCCCCTTGATCTTAACCTAGACCCCCTTGATCTTAACCTAGACCCCCTTGATCTTAACCTAGACCCCCTTGATCTTAACCTAGACCCCCTTGATCTTAACCTAGACCCCTTGATCTTAACCTAGACCCCCTTGATCTTAACCTAGACCCCTTGATCTTAACCTAGACCCCTTGATCTTAACCTAGACCCCTTGATCTTAACCTAGACCCCTTGATCTTAACCTAGACCCCCTTGATCTTAACCTAGACCCCCTTGATCTTCCCTTCATCTCCCCTTGCGCCGCCATTGTTCTGCAAATTAGTAAGCCTTATACCTGGAGTATGTTGCATACTCCAATTTCTATTATCAAAATAACTTGTAGATTTAGGTGGTGTTAAGTAGGATAGGTAAGGCATAGAACTGGAGAATCTGCTATATGCATTATGAATGCATATAGCAGGGGAGAGTAATCTCCCCCGAAGACATAGATTACGTAGAACTGTTGGCCTGGGAACCCACCAACTACCTTCAGTAGCTGTCTGCAGTCTGTTATTGCACGTGGTTTCCGTGGGGATGTTGGTGGGTTTCGGGCTTTGGGTAGTGGTTGTGGTGGGTGTTCTACGTATTTTATGTCTTTGGCAAGTCTTAGGTTGCTTTGTTTGCTAAGTTCACAAAACTGACGCTTGGGGAGGAAACTAGGTGGTTTTGAGACTACTTTCGACTGCACCTGGCCTTAGTTTTCATGCCTTTTTTCTTGGACCAGATTTTTCTAACTTGTATTGTTTTCACATTATGAAGTGTACAGTATCAAGTTGGTAAGAGACATTGTGACAGGTATCATTATTCATGAAATGCTTCGCTTGGGGAGTAGACTTTATCTGTCGACTGAAAAGGTGAAAACAGTCCTGGAGACTAAATTAGAGTTAATTTTGAGATGTACCCTCCAACCTTGATAAAAGATAGCCAGTCATTTAGCCAGACTATTTATTTCTAATTTCTTACCTAGCATTGGCCAACAGGAATATTGGAATTTCTTTTCATGTCTGTTGTAAGTTCCTGTTGAACTTTATTATTGAAGGTTAACTTGTCGCAATATCTCCACTGTTTTTAGTAATGACACAATTTCAGCTACGAATGTTGTTACTATTACTATCAATGTTACTACTACTACCTCCACTACTACCAGGACTTACTGCTAGACTGACTACCAGCACTTCTATTATTGCCAGTACTAAGACTACCACCATTAACATTATCACTACCACCATTGATATTACCGCAAATCTTGCCAGTGCTTCCTACACTACTACTGTTATTACTACAGATTTTGCTGCTACTGTCTATACTACTAAAGTTTTTTTGAGACTTAGTCACCTGGCGTCCTTCGTAATTACACCCCATCCTCTCCTCCATGTTTTTTTTGCGACCGGTCTTGTGGTCTGTTACTTTTTGACCCTTGGTCTGACTTGTTCCTGGTCCAAGAGAAACCAAAAGATCGTCTCGAATTATTTCTCCATTGTTGGCTTCCATAAGTGTATTAAGTACTGTTATATATTTAGGTAGTTAGGTTAAGAGAACTGGAGAATCTGCTATATGCATTATGAATGCATATAGCAGGGGAGAGTAATCTCCCCTGAAGGCATAGATTACGTAGAACTGTAGGCCTGGGAACCCACCAACGACCTTCAGTAGCTGTCTGCAGTCTGTTATTGCACGTGGTTTCCGTGGGGATGTTGGTGGGTTTCGGGCTTTGGGTAGTGGTTGTGGTGGGTGTTCTACGTTTTTTATGCCTTTGGCCAAACTGTGCAAAGTTAAATATTTGATTCATTAAGTTTACACAATTTCATCATTTTGGAAAATTTAAGCGATGTTCAGGTTCCTATGAATATAAAAGTATTAGCGTTCAGAAATGCAATTGGTTTGAGTTTGTAAGTAGCGAAGTCTAATGTTTCTGGCAGCAGATGTTAATGATGAAAACCTCTGTGATCTGAAGTGTTAGTCAACAGAAAGGATTCACTAACATCAGATGCTGATTAGTTAGGCAGGTGATTTAGGTTGGTATCAGTGAAAATAGGGTTATTAACCCTGCTGGGTTAGAAACCCAGAAAAATAGAGGTAGAGAGGCTTGAATGTGGTCGTCCTCAGGTTGCGCCTAGGATGCCAGCCATAACTGGCAGGTAAGGTAGGTTATGAATTCAGGCTAGCATGGTAGTGTGTGTTAGACTGGTATACGACAGGCCTTCAGCTGGTTAAATAACCCATAGCGTTGGTTGTTAGCCTAGTGTGCTATGAGGGACATGGTAGTTAGGATCAATTAAACATTGTATTTCCCTTACACTACCTTCATGTTAAATTTGAAAGGCATCCTAGGGGTGTCTTTGTACTAATGAAGGTATCTTTATAAATAGTTGCAAGTACCCTCCCCTTCCTTAGGCAAATGAGGCTTGATCCAACATTCCCCAAGCTGTGTATAACCTCTATGGGTAATATATATATATAGTTATGGGAAATTGTGCACATTTACTCAATCTAAAATTGTTTGAATTGGGGGGGGGGAAACTCGGGACAGGGCGATGAAAGTCAATCAGGTTTGATTCAGAGGAGAGTAATGAAAGTCGATAAGTAGGTTCCCCCCCCCCCCTCTCTCTCTCTCTCTCTCTCTCTCTCTCTCTCCATCGAGACCCCCCTTTAAATATTTAATGTTAGGAGTATCTATTATGGAATTTACCCTTCAACTTGTTTAATTGCAGTAGAATCCTCCTGACAAGACGTGATCGTCTTCATTGTTCTAACAGACTGTTGTGCACGCGGAAGTGTTTGCAGTGAAGCGACACTGATTTTCCACAGCCCAGTGTTCAACACTTTTGTATTGTCAGAAAACTAGTAATGAAATCTAAAAATGTATTATACCTCAATACTGCTATTAGTAGTAGTTTGAGGCTGTTCGCCTCATTACTACTATTGTTAGTAGGGTTGGGGTAGGTACGTTTTTTTTTTTTTTTTTTCCCCGAGCTATAAGCTCCCGAATTGTGTGAATGTTGTCCTGCTGACAAATACAGCAGTTGAGGCTTGTCTCAAAGTTTTCCTTTCTATTTCTTGTGTGTTCCTTGAACATTGTTGTGATAAAGACATTAGCATTATTTAAAATGTAATAGTTTATTGAATATTGTAGGAAGACCATATTCTGTGTTGTGGGCAGCTGCTGTGTGGTGAAGACCGTGTGGTGGGCAGCTGCTGTGTGGTGAAGACCGTGTGGTGGGCAGCTGCTGTGTGGTGAAGACCGTGTGGTGGGCAGCTGCTGTGTGGTGAAGACCGTGTGGTGGGCAGCTGCTGTGTGGTGAAGACCGTGTGGTGGGCAGCTGCTGTGTGGTGAAGACCGTGTGGTGGGCAGCTGCTGTGTGGTGAAGACCGTGTGGTGGGCAGCTGCTGTGTGGTGAAGACCGTGTGGTGGGCAGCTGCTGTGTGGTGAAGACCGTGTGGTGGGCAGCTGCTGTGTGGTGAAGACCGTGCTGTGGGCAGCTGCTGTGTGGTGAAGACCGTGCTGTGGGCAGCTGCAAGTCTTCCCAGAGATCACCAGCAGCAACGCTCCAAAACAATGTCTACAAAGATAAGTGTACATTACTAGAGTATTCATGAACTGCACTGAACAATAGTTTGAGGTTTTACTATGTATTTAGAATGCTTCCTTTAACATTTTGTAGAATTGGAAAAGTATTTTCAAAGCTGATCTATCAAAAATTACCATGAAATTGAAATAATCCAAGTTTTTTTTAAATTACCACAAGTTACTGGAACTGGAGGAGCTGGATGTGTTGATTATGGTGGATGGCAGAGGAGTGACTAGTGGCGCCACTATTCTTGACCTCATGGCTAAATGGCGCCGTTGACCTGGGGGAGGGGGTGATGACGTCAGCGGTTGTTTGTGGGGAGGGGGAAGGTCGTTAAGGGAAGGGTCGGGGGTTGGCTGCTTGTGGAGGGGTATTTGGGAGTGAGTAGTTAGTTGTTACTAGTGGGAGGGTGATGGGGAAGGGGTAGGGGGGATGGCTGTCACTTGGGACAACACAATGTTGTTAGGGTATTAACGTGGCTTGAACCTAGATATTTGAAACGCCCTGGACACTAGTCCAAAGACACTCGTTTGCCACATATTCGTAATTCTAATAAACAATATCCATGGACTTGTTGAAAACCGTCTCCTTGATGTTGGGCTGACGTATTTGACATCTTTTTTGGGTTTAGTGCTTAGTTTTGATAGTAGTGGTAGTAATGTAGTTTAACCTGGTAGACGTCATGACCTGCCTTTACTGCCTCATGCAGGATGATACAGTTTAATAGTGGTAAGAAGTCAAGAACCCCAGTGGAAATAAGCCTTTTTTTTGGGGGGGGGGTATGCTGCTATGTATAATTTATGCATTTGTGCACCTGTAACTGAATGAACTTACTAATCACCAATCTTAATCTTTAGTAAGCAAGTATATGTAGGTACAGGTACGAATTACCATACATAGTGTAAATTACCTAGGATAACCCAAAGTTAAAAGTGCCTTAGTTCAATTTTAATTAGCCCAAAATGCATTACAAACCAGGGCTCCCCTTTTGTCCCCTTCTTCAAGGGGGCTTCGTGTAGTGGTGGAGGCTCTTGGTCTGAGGAATTGAACCTTTTGGCCTTCCTCAGACCGAGCCTAATTATCCCCCATACTCCCCCCTTTCCCCTTTCCCCTTTCCTCCCCCCTTCCCCTTTCCTCCCCCCTTCCCCTTTCCTCCCCCTTCCCCTTTCCTCCCCCCTTCCCCTTTCCTCCCCCCTTCCCCTTTCCTCCCCCCTTTCCCCTTTTCCTCCCCCCTTCCCCTTTCCTCCCCCCTTTCCCCTTTCCTCTCCCCTTTCTCCCTTTTCCCTTTCCTCCCTTTTCCCTTTCCTCCCCCCTTTCCCCTTTCCTCCCCCCCTCCTCCTTTTCCCCCGTCCCGTTTGTAACCTCTGGGGTCGTCCCCTCTGGCATTACGGTTTCTAGGTAGGGGAAAGTGTGCGTGTGCCGGAGTTCATCCTGCTCCGTGAGGTTCCTCGGGTGTGGTTTAGTTTGCCGTGGAATCTGGATTTTTTTTTATTTTATTTAAATACACTACATAACAAGAATATGATACCTTGTGACCAAGGCCGAAATACATATAAATCATAACACAAAGGATAAACATTACACGCACGCTAAACATACCGCGTATAAACAACATTAACTATAATATGGATAATACCCTAAACCATAAACAATACATTATAAAACACACCCCTACCTAAACATACACAATGCACAACATATTATGTATATTTATTAGAACCCGCACACACATACATATGGCTAGGTACACAGAGATAAGATAAAATGTGTGCAGTTTAAACATTAACTCAGCGGGACACTGCACCAGGTCATGAAGACGAGAGACACCATGCATAACACAAAGCTTACCTAACAAGCAACCCACCAACAAATACATCAGGAACTAGTACAGTGGGTGCAGCATGCAAGAGTATTGGCACCATGCCTCCTATCCCCACTAACACCCCCCCCCCCTCTCTCTACCAATAGAAAGTATGTAGAACACACAATATTAACCATAGGCCTGCATTTTTGCATTGAATATCTTTAGTATTAAGGTGAACGTCCACCACCACTGACATTATAAATATACACACTATACGCACAGCTTACAGAATAAAGCTTACTTTACAAAAAGAAAATATAATTTGACAAACATAGCAGCAACAAAGCCAATCTAAGCACTCGTTAATATAACAGTGGTGTGCATATAACACAAGAATCCCAAAATGGCTCCAACACATAACCACACCATACATTACAGTTGTAAGACACCCGCACACGCAACATCATTCAGCACCCATCATTATACAAATAGTATGATTACCAATAGTGACTTTATAAGTTTGTCATGTTCCCCCCCCCCACACGCATACCGCTGCACCATAATAAAAGAAGCACAATATATACTGACACTACAACACACGGCAAACCTCATACCCAATACTCTCATAACCTACGCACCATAAAACACCATGTCTCTTTAACATATAAGAGGTGTTCCAGTCATACTCACACACTAGCCCCCCCCCCCCCCCCCGGGGAGACCAGCCCGCCGCATCCCCTTACCCCCTCCCCCTCTTACATCCCCAAGAGAAAACCCCCACCGTTTAAACCAAGATATCTTACAGGGAAATCCCTCTCCCACCTTATCCCGTAAAGAACCCGATTCCGACACACCGTATGATAAAAGGTTGCCGCCAATACTCTTTTACGCACCCCCCCAACTCCACCTGACCCTCATTGTCCATGACATATACACAAAATCCACAATAAGGTAACCAAGTGCCCGCTGCACAGGGATTCCCACCCCTCCCACATCCAAACTTAAGAGCCCGCAAGACCCAAATCCCCCCCCCCACTCATCGTACCACTCTCCCCATCCACTCCCGTACGTCCCCAATCGTTCACAGAAATAGACTGCATAAAAAGCTGTACCCTCACCCCACAAACCCCACAGACGCCCTCCTCACAAATCTCGGTCTCGAAGAACGCACCTGATGGCAGGATCCCATGCGGGAAACCCGGAACATCACCTCCGCTCCCGTGGCCAAAGGTGGCCTGCACAACCTACCCCAAAATACCCTCCCATGCATCATTGGTTTACTCCTTCCACAGTCGCCCCCCTTTTTCCCCCCCCACTTCTCTAAAACCCCCACCTCATGTGTCAATCCCTAACATAAAGGCACCCACAACATGTCCTCCACAACGCAAACCCTTTCCCCTCCCCCCATCTTTGACCCCTCATCAAAAGGTGAAACCCCACCACCTTTACACCCCCCCCATCCGGAGAAAAATCCCTTTTTTACATATACATCTAACCTATTCTTTAAATTAATTAACCCCAGCCTCCCTCTGCAACTGGGGAGTTACAACCTCCCCCCGTAACCAATACATCCAAACCCCCCAAATAAAATTAAAGACTTCCTAAATAATCCCGCAATATCTGATTGCAAAAAAAGGGGTTTTACATAGCGACCACATCCCAAATTTTCTATATAGAAAGACATTTACTACAAGCCCCTTGATGAAGCGTTAAATGTCCGGCGAACCCATCCAACCGTCTATCACCTTTCCCACACCCCCAGAATTAACCATCCTAGCTTGTTTGTACTCCTGCTATACTCAATACAAAAATTTTAAACCCCAAATCCAAACACCCCCACCCCCACACCTTCCCCCCCCCTTCCCCCCAGTCCCCCACCCCAAAAACTTAGATTTCTCTACATTCACCCTATACCCGTCTCCTCTCCAAAAAAGGTCCACAATCCTCCCCACCCCTCCTAAACCTTCCCCCTCCTGCACAAGAATCGTCGTGTCATCTACATAACTGACAATTCCCGGCACACCTCATCCCACCCACCCCTGTCGCTCCCCCCTCACGCATACCTCCAGCGCTCTATAAAACGGATCCTGCAAACATGCAAAAAGTAGTTGGGATAAAGGACATCCCTGCCGCAGACCTCTACCCATAGGGATCCACTCCCCCACCCTTCCATTCACCTGCACCCGAACACCTGCTCTATGATACGTTTGTATCCACCTCAAATCTCATCCCCAAACCCTTGTCTCCTCAGTATCCACCACAACGCTTCTCTCTGGACACTATCATATGCAGCCCTCCAATCTAAGGCCAACCCCCCCCCCTCCATTCCTTGCACACACTCAAACCCCCGAATCACCCCGTGCCCCTCATACATGGTCCTTCCCGGCACCCCATGCTGGCCCGCTGCCACCGCCCTATTGATCACACACTTCAACCTATTCCCCAATATTTTAGGGAATAACTTATAATCCGAACACAGTAAAGAAATAACCCTACAGTCCTTCACCGTGCGCGGACTGGCCACCTTCGGGACCAGGACTACCACAGCAGTTGCTTGCAAAACCCCCAGCTCACCCTTGTTTTTCATTGTGTTCAACAACCTCACCAAGAACTCCTTAAGTATGTCCCAATTTTGTAAGTAAAACTCACATGGCAGACCGTCGATTCCCGGGGATTTACCTCTACTCATACCCGATAATGCCCGCCACACCTCCCCTTTGTCAATGTCCCCTCCCAGTGCCATACGGTCCCCCCTGCTCAGAACATTGACCACATGCCCCCCCCCCCTGCACTCCACCACTCCTCAAAGTCCTGAACCATTCATCCACATAACGACCCATCCCTTCTGTCGTACGAAGCACCTGCCCCACACGAAAACCTCCAACCTCCTGCACTAACAAACATTCCATCTCTGTAGCCGCCTGATGTTTCCGCTGCCCCCGCAGAACACACGCCGATGGCCTGTCACCCCACAAAACTTCCTCTAACCCACCCTTAACCCGCACTGCATCAAATTTCTGATTCTGCAGTTCCCTGATGCATTGCTTCAGCCCCTCTATTTCCTCCACAGGATAGCCCCTGCCCCCCATCCCTCTCCCATAACAATCCCTCAACTGCCCCTCTAAATATCTTATAAGCCCAAAAGTCATCTGAGCCTCCCCCTTGCCCTGTCTAACATAATACGCCCTAATCCTCCCCTTTGCCACTCCATCCCACCACGCCAACATATCCCCAACAGCTTCCCCCCCAACCACAACTCCCTCCACAATCGCACAAACCCCTCCCTCCCCCTCCATCTTCAAGGAGCCGAACATTCAATTTCCAAAAACTCCTATGCCTCTTAGGCAACCCGTCCCACCCTACTTCAACAATTACCGCCCGATGATCTGAATATGCTATGTCCACCACACACACCCTTTCCACCCTTGCAGTCTGTGTTAAGTACAAACGGTCCAGACGAGCAGCATACCCTCATCGCACAAATGTGTGCTTCACCTCCCACGCCACACCTGTAGCCACATCCCACAACCCTGCCCCTCGCAAAAGATCCCCTAACACTACAGAGTGAAACCCCACCCCTCGAGGCTCCACATCTTTCCTCACCACACAATTCCAGTAAACCCCCCACAACCGCCATGGGGGGAAGCGACTGGAGGTGGTACACTAACACATCCCTCACAAAGGCAGTCTTGACACAACCATCCCCCTCTGCGGGCCCATAGACACACACTAGCGCGACCCTCTCCCCCATCCACAGCCCATCCACTCGCACGACCCGTCCTTCCTTCCCTACCTCACTACGATACACAACAAACGGACTGGTCTCTCGCAAAAGGATGGCAACCCCCCCTTTCAGTCGAGGTGAATGTGCAACAAACCCCTGAAATCCATCCAGTACTAACTCGCACCCGGCTTTATAATTGTG